GAGATTTAATTTCATTACACATTAGTGATAATTATTATTCTTCTTCTGCCTCAGTGATTAAGCAAGAGTTGCTGTACGTAGGCGTATCCGCGCGAAGTCTTTTGATGTCACCAGAAAAACCAGCTTTAGATGTGATGTTTCAAAACATATTTATCTAAATAATACATAAAAGTAATTTTCATTTATTTAACCACAATATGTTTATTTGCTACGGTGCAGTGGCGGTCTGCTGTTGACAACCCGCCTGCTTAGTCTATATACGGCAAATATCTCCCCTATGATTTATGGGGGAGGCTTATGTACAGCTGGACATAAGCCTTAATAAGCTTCATAAGCTGTACCAGTAACGGTATTTTTATTTGGTTTACGTATAACTTATATTTATTTAAATGAACGTTATCTCCACGCCCTTCATTGTTCCAGAATCAGTCACGAGATACCAAACACTTAAGGATAGATAGTTACAGGTTCTCTGTCTTGAAACACGTACGAGATGAGAATTTGTTTTAACTTTCCTTCCATTATAGATTGGTAAGAAAGAGCAAGGCGACTTTTTAATCACGTGTATATTACGTATACGTGTATTACCGCGTAGTGGCGGTGTAAGGATATTTACTGCCCCATATTATTCCGTGGGTGTAACGTGAATTGTTCCGATTTGCGGACAAAAATAGTCCATCCCACGAATATGTACCTCCATATTCAATTTTTATATTTATGTTTGATACCGCATCGGAGTTAATATCTTTTCCTTATAAGAAGTTGTCCAAATTCCGGAAAAATGGTAATCTCTTGGAGCAAGGTCTGGGGAGTACGGTGGATGTCGCAGGCATTCCAACTGTAGCTCATCTAACTTAGTGGTTGTTTGTTGTGCAGTGTGTGGTCTTGCGTTGTCGTGAAGCAGCAGTGGCCTAGAGCGATTGACCAATCTCAGTTGTTTAGCAGCTAGTTCTTCCTTCATGGTTTGCAGTTGCTCTCAATAGATACTGCCGTAATCGTTTGGCCGGATTTTAGAAAGCTGTAGTGAACAACACCGGGGCTAGTTCAACAAACACTCACAAGTAACTTTTTCTGAGTCAATTTTAGTTTAGGGCAGGATTTGGCTGGGTCTCCAGGGTTCAGCCATTGCGCCGAGCGCTTCCGAATATCGTACAGTACCCACTTTTCATCAAAAGTAATGATTTGATTTAAAATCCCTACATTTTTGTATCGGTTGAGCAAAGTAACACAGCAGTCGACGCGAGTTTGCAAGTTCGATTCACTCAATTCATGAGGTACCCATCGTTCAAGTTTTTTTTACTTTCCCGATTTGTTTCAAGTGTTTATAATTACAGTTTTATCACTTACACCGAAGCCTGCAGCTATCTTTGAAGTGCTTTGTGATGGATCCGCTTCCACAATAGCCTTCAATTCTTTATTTTCCACTTTGATCTCCGGCTGTCCACGGGGTTGGTTCTGAAGGTCGAAATTTCCAGAACGAAAACGTTGAAACCAAAAACGTACCGTGCTTTTTTTCGACACCAGCGCTGTACACGTCATTAATCCTTTGAGCTTTTTCTGCAGCACTGGTGCCACGTTAGAACTCGTACTCGTAAATATATCGATATTTCATGTTTTCCAATGTGCGGTAATGTACCAGCTAAATGAATTTTCGAATTTGAATTTGGAATTCTTAGCCAAAGAGGAGATATTTCAGATCAAATTGGTCAGTACGACAAAACGCTAATTTCATATTAAGGACCCAATATATTATTTTATATTTGTTATAGCTTTCTCAAATTCAAGCAAGCGATCATGTGAGGAAAAAGTCCGGACGTTGTATATGCAATCGTTAGTTGATATTTATGTAGGTTATTGTTCTTCTCTGTTGATGTATTCATTGGAGGGTTTTAGTCATATTCTTCCACGGTGACCAACCGGATTGGAAAATTAACCTCCTATAGAGTGGCTCTAACTCAGCAGTGGTCCTTCGATGGGTTGTAATGGAGAAAGGAATAAGCCATAGCAACTCGCCGTAAATTACGCAGTACGCGGGCAACCCAGTTCGATTCTCAAAAGCACTTATGAAATTGTTTATTGGATCTTAACTGCTCCTTTACCACGTCCTTGGCGTTAAAGATATAACATGCAAAACCTGCATGGCATTATTCGAAGACGTGTGAAGTTCGCCATATTAAAGCAGGATGATGAGTTTATTGAGAGTTATGCTCTCAGAATATGAGGGATAACCTGTTCCCAGCGGTGGGATATATACTAGCTGTTTTCACACAATACAACTACCACATTTGCCAACAATACAATCGATAATTTATTTCTATTAAATCAAAATAAAATTTTGTTTACAAAATTTCTCAAGTTTATAATCCAAATACATACTTCTTTATAAAGTTAGACGTTGATGGATTTTGAATTAAATTTCCGCGTAACTTCGTTCAGGCAACCGGGTTTTATGCACGTACCCTAGTAGGTTATAAATAACCTAGCCTAGTTATTTATAACCCTAGTAGGTTATAAATAACCTACTAGGGTACGTGAGGGTAATACGGATTTGCCTCCCTTTAAATCCAAAACTAGGAGTAGGACGGAGACAAAAACATAAAGTCATATACTATACTAATATATGAAGAAAAAAGCAAACAAGCAATTGACAATAATTAAGAATATTTCGATAAATCAACTTATAAAAGTTAACTACACTACACAATACTAAAATTTGACTTAAATACTCACTATAATGTCAATTGTCAAAATAGCGTCGATAAAGCAATGCCCTTTTGACCCTTTAATATTTGATTCACTAATGAAAACTGAGAGATGTATGTAATTACTGTAAGGATGAAGAGCTATCATATCACAGAGTCATCTGTACAAACAAGGCTGTAGTTTTTGAATTATAACACAGTGATCATATTACTCTTTGAGAATTGCTAGACTCCACAGAACATGAGTATGTAGTGAATATATACATAAATTGAAGCTTCACAATATTGTATCCGATAGGTGGCGCTGTTGTTGTGATCCAGAAATCACCCGCGCGAAGCCGTGGTGAATCGCTGGTACATTAAATAAATTGAACTTTTTTACTATACTTTATGTTAATTGTTGCGTTTGTGTTATATAAAAACGATATTAAAATATGAATGGTTTACGCACAAAGAGTATATAATATTTATGCACGCAACCATAACGTCCGTCGCTCATATTTTGTTTTCTTCTTTTTACGTTTTTTTATTTAGCGAGCAGTTTCTTCTCGGCCAGTATATTTATACAGTAAAAGTTCTAAACTTATTGGCACCAATGAGCGGTAACAATAACGTATATTTAATTCATTGTATTAAAGTTAAATTGTAGTAAAATTAAAGTCAAAAGTGCACAGATGAACATAGGTCTTCCCCATAGATTGTACCATAGGAAGCATTTTCCCGTATTTACCACGCTTAGCAGGCTGGTTTAGAAACGCAGTTTTAAATTATTTCAAACCGTTATCAAGAAAATATTGCCCATCTCCTGCTGCATGTCTCTATGTCGGCTCGACGACACTAACGGGATGATATCGTGAAGTCGATTCTCTTACGCCGTCACTACTCAGAATCACGTATATAATAACTAATAATTTAGTAACACGCCTTTAACGCTGCCCTTCTCTGGCCTGGCTAATGCCAGGCCAGAGACGGGCAGTGTTAAAGGCGTGTTCTTATACCTATGGTAAGGAATAAGATGCAACTTTGTGTCGTAAGAACCTGCTATGGAAATTACCAGAGAGATATAGTAATAATAAATTACAAAAATATATTTATTACAGAAGAAGCCTATGCTCGTTAGCTTAAAAAGAGTACAAAATATATTTCCAATGCTCCATTTACAAGAAATCCTCGGATGAATAAGTGTTTAATACAACAAACCAAGGGACAGAAGCGCACCGAAAGCTATCGGACTTCCAACGGAAATTGAATCAAAAGGCCATCACCGCTCTAGGATAACAAATTGCTTGTACGAAATTTTCTCATTTACTTTGATGATTTATCCGATGGAAATAGATTATTAACCTTCAAAATAAAATTATGTGCATAAATATACAACCCGCAACACTCCCTTTCGATGCAGTGCTGATGCGGTGGTTGTGGGAACGCGGAGGAGATGCGACTTCTCGTAAGAGAAAATTAGGGGGAGGAGTTGTCTTCTCCCGAAAAGCGACGGAGCTGAAGATGTATGCAATAGTGTTCCCTTGGCGATGATGTAACTAGAGGGTGCAGGCATTTTGAATAAATAAAAAGTTTGAACAAACGTTTGGATTTGGACGAATGGACTATCACATACTACTACGCAATATTTCTTACCTTATGCACCTGATTTTAATGATTTTAACATTTCGAGTCAAAATGACAAAATGTAAATGCAATCATCTTGGTATCTGACTGTGTTACATATATTTTAAGAGACTTACGTAGATCACTGAAATTCGACATAATTTTAAACCGAAATTACCCAAATACAGACGTAAGCATACAACTTAAAATTCTAATTTTCGACTGAAGTGTAAGTTAAACAGCAATCACGTTTGGATGAAAAAAAAACTCCAACCTAATTGTAAGTGGTTACGGGCAGATATTTTAATGTAGTTTTGAGGTCAAGTGGTATTCTTCAGTTCTGAGCCCTACGAATAAAATGCTATGTTGCCAAAAGTAGGAGCTTCGAATTTTATTAAACATTAAAAATAATTTATATATTTATCTCTAAACCAGAAAATTAAAGGGATAGAATGAATGAGGAAAAGTGACAAACACGTTGCAGAAATAAATGGCAAAATCTGCAAGGGACTAGACCTAAATGGAGTGATATATTAAAGATGTTCAGTTAAGAGTACCCTTAACCTATAGTCCTATAACCTATACCTATAGTCTCGCTCGCGACGTTGTACGAACCAGCTGACTTGTGTTTATGTTTTACAAACTTTTTTATTTCTACCCTTAGTTTGAAATTATAATAAAAACAACGCAATAATGCCCAAGTGTGACAACTGTGACAAACAAATAGCCAAGAAATCTGCTATGTGCAACAAATGCTCCAAAACTGTACACGCTACCCATGCTTGCACCGGCTTAACACCTAAGCAATTAGCAACACAGCAGCAGGAATGGACTTGCGAAGATTGTCGCCGCGAAACTCCAAGACAAAAGTCGTTTGTCATACAAGAAGAGGAAGATGAAGACGAGGAGGAACTAGTAATAACACAAAGTACTGAGAGCGGATCCCGCGCAATGAAAAAGTTACTAAGCGATATATCATTCGAGGTTAAAAAAAGAGTAAAGAAAGAAATAGGCTCAGTAAACGAAGCACTCAGCTCTTGTTGTCAAAAACTGGACGGAATAATGGACACTTTAGCGATTATTACCGGAAAAATAAAAGAACTGGAAAACAAAAACAAATACTTACTTAATGAACCAAAATAAACATCTAAAGCTGAAAATCCATGCTATTGAACAATACATTGAAAATCTTGAGCAAAAACAACTCAATAATACATTTGAAGTTGCAGGAGTACCCGAAATAAAAGACGAAAATACGGAAATGATTATAAGTACATTAGCTACGAAACTAAATATTGGGGGAAAAAATAAGAACAATTAAAAGATTGAAAGGGAAAAATGGAAAGGAGGGCGTGATCCAGGTATCACTTAAACAGGAAGAACAAGTGGATCAATGGATAAGAACAGCAAGAAAAGTAAATACACTTGCTGAAGACTTCGTTTCCTGTCCAGATCCTGCCATAGCAAGAACGAAGATAATAATATGACGTGCCCTTTCCAGTGCAAATAAAACTCTCCTGTGGCAAGCTAAGCAAAAACTTAAGGTTACTTATAAATATATATGGTTCCAGGGTAGTAGAATTCTAGTTCGTAAGAATGATAACGATAAGCCCGTGGTCATCTGAAACTTAAGTGACATAGACAAAATGGCGGTGAAGAAGATTGTAAGTTGGTAGTAGAAATTTTACGCGCTAGGCACTACTTCGGAAGTAACGGAACTTTGTGATTTGGCAAATTTATGTGACTTTAGCACCTATCTACCTAAAAATACTACTTTTTAATATTGTACATATTAATATTAGATCAATTTTCAAGAACTTTAGTTCATTACTGCAAACAATAAACCAATCACCAATAGCTATATCCATACGTTATAATACTAACTGAAGTAGGAATTTCGCTAAGTAGTAATCTTTTCAATTCTTTTCTATAAACGGTTATGAAATGTGCAATGTGTTTCGGGAACAGCGACGTGATGGTGGTATTATTATGTACATTAAAAATTGCCACAGTTTTAAAGCAGTAAACAACTTAAAATTAACCCACTGTGAATCATTAATTGTAAACATCCAATCTTGCCACCGCTACACTACTCACATTTGCGCATTATATCGACCGCCTAATGAAAACAAGCATCTTTTTATTAACGAACTGAAAGTACTACTTTGTCACAATATAATCAAACACTCTGACCTGTACCTAATCGGAGACATAAATATTGACCTGGAATCAAATAATAACATTCGTGATTACTACTTAAGCTGCTTGGCCGAGTGCGGTCTGATGACAAAGTTTTACTGCGAAAAAAGAGACTTTCTGTAGAACAAGTGGAAAAAAGATACAACTAATGAAATATTAAGACTAGAGTTCAATAAAATTAGGAATAAAACACATAAACTTATTGAAATATCTCGAAACAAATACTATTATCACGAAATAAATAATAACAAAAATAATCCAAGGAACCAATGGAATATTCTAAATTCCCTAACAGGCAGAGTAAATAAATCATTAGATATGGCAGAGCATAAATAAAATAATCCAGAAATTGAACACAAACAAATCCGCTGGAGCAGACCAGATTCGCTGCATAGTCATAAAATCCTTATGTGAAAAAATCACAACAGCAATTACAGAGTTGATTAATACCAGTGTTAATTCAGGTATTTATCCCTCAGAATTAAAATTCGGAATAGTAAGACCCATCTACAAAAAGGGGTCGCACTGTGAATATGATAATTATAGACCAATTACAATACTTCCGGTGATAGATAAAATTGTTGAAAAATATATATGTAATTAGATACAAAACTATTATATACTCATATCGAATTACGTTTTGTTTAGCACTCAGTTTGGCTTTACATGGCTACAATGGCTACAAATGATATTATTGAAAATATTTATACCTAAGAAAGTAAAAACAAAAATATACATTGAAAACTATATTAAAGGAATATTTATGTTTTGTAAAGTATTACCTATACTTACGAAATTTAAGATGCAAATATTAATAGAACAATTTTATAATAAAAAAGTTCAAGTTAAAACTAACCATAGAACTATTACAAGAAAAGTTACACAAAATAAGCTCGTAACACCTAAAATTAGTTATATATTTTAGGTGTTATGAGCTTATTTTGTGTAACTTTTCTTGTAATAGTTCTATGGTTATGTTATGGAAAACGTACAAATGGATATTTAATTCTTACCTTAATGAACCAAATACCCTCCACGTTACTCTCAGATATCAATGAGAATAACTACAAAAACAAATTCAAAAAATATTTCTATGAACAACTACAACGGGATTAAAAATAAAAATTAATGAAATATATATATATATATATATATATATATATATATATATATATATATATATATATATATATATATATATAACCAAAATAAGTAAATAATTAAAAACTATAAAAAATTATTTAAAAAAAATCCAGATCAATTCATACTTATGCAAAAACCTGTATACTGTTTCTGCTGCTAGATAATCCAAGCGCTCGCATCGCAACGTCCACATTCGAGGGCTCACCGAAACCGGTTTTTCTGTCAATACGGCCCGTTTTAGAGCGGTGATTTGCAATTACGGTGGGTTGTAAGTTATGGTTTAAAACATGTGCGTACCTATTTAATACTATTGTTACTGTTTGTCCTGCATGTCTGAGGAATAAGAAAAAAAAAATATTTCGAAGACATGTGAAGTTCGTCAACACGCATTTGGGCAGCGCGGCGGACACTTCCTTGCCTCTCCTCCCTCCCTCTCAGAAATGAGGGGAGGCCTGAGCCCAGCAGTGGGACGTATATAGGCTGTAACTTTACTTTTTTTTACTGTTTGTAAGCAGCCAATGATTAGATGATTGTATTGTTTGTATGCGATTGTACTATTGCCTTACATTATGTGTGAGACTGTAACTTCTGGACAAACCTCACGGTTTTTGCAAGTTAAATAGATTTAGTCCATGTATCATTCTTATGTTATAAATAAATTTAAAAAAACCGACGAGCATGTATACGTAGGTATATGGACGTGGAAGAAGTGAGGAAGGTGTGTTGGGATCGTGCTAAATGGAAGTCCGTAATTTCTGCCTACCACTTTGGGTAAGAGTTTTCATACCGTTGTTGATTATCGCTCAGAGCAGATCTGTGTCATATTAGATAAGAAAATATAATCGTCGGTTCAATCGATTAACGCACGTAGTGTATTGTAACCTAAGGGTCCCTTTGCCGCCAATAGCATCGTTTGTTAAATTTAGTTATATCTGTGTTGAAAGTGCAGTACCTTACTCGTCGCATCCGAACACGTCACACCGAGTCGAAGTAAACAAAGGTAACAATTAACACCTACCTGCATTAATGCTTGTTGTACTTACCGTTCTATAAACGAGCTACACTACACAGCCAGCCAATAATAAATTGAACATAATGTCTAGCTGTAATGGTTGTAAGAAATCGGTGCGGCAATCTGAGAAAATAATTTGCACCCGCGGTAACTGCGCTAAGGCATACCACTATTTATGTGTAGGTTTGACATCAAAAAGTGCCAAGAAAATATCGTCTTGGATATGTCCGTATTGCATTAGCAAGCAACCAAAAGCAGGTGACAGCACCAACACTCCGCTTAAACATACATCAGAAGAAAATTCTCCAGCAAGCTCTTATCTACAGGAATCATCTGAGTTTCGAACAGGCATCCTAAACTCTCTTAAAGATAAACTCCAAATTCTTATGAGAAAGGCATTTAAAAGCGAGTTAAGCCCTTTGAAAGCTCAAATATCGACTATGGAAACTACTCTTAATTATATAAGTACCCAGTACGATGACCTCATGAAAAATCTTGCATCCACCACAGCTGAACTTAAATGCCTAAAGGAAGAAAATACGCATCTCCGAAGTGACGCAGATGCTAATACAGGACGTATTAAACAATTGGAAGAGGAGTTTGCAAGACAACAGCAGGGGAGCCGTCTTCAGAATAACGAAATTACAGGTGTCCCAAAGTACAAGGATGAAAACACTGTTGAAATTCTTCTTAAGCTGGCCGAGAAATTAGGTGTCACCATGGACAGCAGTGAGGTGGAGTTTGCACATCGCGTGCAGCCGCGTAAGCCGAACAATTCCATCATTCACCGTTCCATCATTGCCCGGTTTCGTCACCGCAGCACAAAAGACTCGATCGTAATCGCATCGCGTAAACATCACGGCATCAAACTAACCGACATTGTTATGGTGAACAAGACAAGCAACGATAATTCCAGAAATAATATTTATATTAATGAACATCTTACACCATACAACTTTATTTAAACAGTGTAAAATCAAAACTAAGGAATTTAATTTCAAATTTATCTGGACAAAAAACTGCCGTATTTATGTGCGTCGCAACGAAACTTCTCCCTCCCTACGCATTATATAGACGGCCGATTTGATAAAAATAGTTTAATTTGTATTGATTGTATAGCGATATTACTCCTAGTTATGTTACGCATACTTACACAATACACATTTCTCACTTACATTCATCATATTATACCTCTTTACATTTTACCACGAAACAACTTGCAAATTATCATTACTCAAATTACAAAACACTATGAAAAAATTCTACATCATATAAAACACTATGATAATATATCAATAGGCATTACAAACTGCCTTCCTGTTTTATTTCTTTTTAAAACCTTATATTATGTCTTATTGTCATGGAAAAAGATACTTAGCATTCACTTCTTATTTTATTATTACGTTTTCTCTGTGGTGCAAATGAAAGCAGTTATTATAATCCTTTATGTGTATCATTCTATAACTAACGGTGTACTTAATATTTAAAATGGCAAAGTGCAAAAGTGGATTAACACTTTTCTATCAGAATGTACGAGGCTTACAGACTAAGACTGACCAGTCTTATAATAATTTATTTCTATCTAATATTGACATCGCTTTAATTAGAGAGACATGGTTATGCGACAGTATTCTGGATACGGAGTTGTGCAGTTCTGACCAATACGAACTATTCCGTCGCGATCGCAGCGCGCTCGGAGGTGGTGTGATGATTGCGTGCGCTTCCCGGCTCAGCCTGCAGCTCTGACCTTGATCGCAACGATCTTGAGTGCATATGCATAACAGTACCG